CTGTGGGCAAAGGGGGCCAGTGCTCCCAGATGCAGCTGTACTGAAAAAAAATTTAACTGGCCATGTAAAGCCAAGTCCAGAGAGCTTGAGGGGATAGCTCAGAGGTGGGTGTTTCCTTCTGGTGGTGGCTTAGAAGCTGCAGAGGAAGGAGAGGGAAATGATGGTAGGGGTCACCATGCTTGCTGGCAGCTGCCTATTTCTCACCAGAGGTACCTGGAATGAGGTGAGAAACTTTAACCTAATTGTGAAGTCAGGAAGGAAGGAAGAAGGAGCTGGTTCTAGCAAGCATTTAGCAGGGATTACCCTTAGTGAGTGTCTGTTTTAAGGAGATAGACAGTGATCACTGGCCACAGAAGGGCTCAGCTGCTGTTGGGTGCTCAGAAAACGTGGAGCTGTGTGTGCTGGAGGTGGTTAATCCCTGCCCTCTGCCCTGCCTGCCCAGCATCCATCTCTGCATCACGCAGCTGCACACGAAGCCCGGCGTTGCTGAGCAGTTCCTGAAGGATGTCAGGGACAGCATCCAGGACATCATGAAGGACCTCAACGCCAAGACCACCGGCATGGTGAGGAGCCCAGCACACAGTGAGGGGGGTTTGGGCTGAGGGTGTTTCTCCTGTGTAACAGCCTGCTCTTCTCTGCTTAGGGAGCCATCTATGGAATGGCACAGTCGGTCCCAGACAGGAGCCTGGTAGCGGAGATTTCCCAGGCCTACCTGGATGGCCTCTACAGCACGGATGTTCCCAACAGTGAAAAGCACATGAATGGCTCTCCCAGCCACCACTGACTGTAGTGCAACAATTGGTGCCTTGCCAGCGAGCACTGGGGTGGTTCCAAAGGTTTCCTAGGGAAAGAGATTGCAGTTCCTTTGTTCCTACAATTGCAGGCCTGAGGGTGGCTTGATCTGGAAAAAATCCTTCCCTGTCTTAGTCTGTTCTGAAATCTGCATTGTTTTCATGCCCAATTTCTGTTTTAGGGCTTTTCCTCCCTCCCCCCTGCCTGTTTTCATCATGGCTATTGATGGTGAATTGAATGTCCATTCCACAGCTCTGAATTCCTCAGGTATTCTGCATGTCACTTCATTCCATGTTGTTTCTCCTCCTCAGACCTGGTATTCAGCCAGTGTCCAGCCAAGCGTTAAATTCGAGTTCTCACATTGTGTTCCATGGCTCCAGTCTTCCCGGAAGTTAATGGTAGACAGTAAATTGGAAATTCTGTTTTCTCTTGAGTATTCCTGTAGGCTGCTGCATTTAACAGACCGTGCTGGGAGCCTTATATCTGTGTAATGCAGAGCTGATAAATTGGCAGAGGGAAGGTAGTGGCCTCCTTTTGAAATCCCCTCTGGAGATCTCAGTGAGACTGCAATCAATATCTGCTGAGGGGGAGAAAAAAGCAACACAAAATCCTTTTCTGGAATCTCTTGGAACAACAGCAGAAATAGAAACCAAGCAGGTGGTGTAGGGAGAGGAACTGGATGGTACTGAAAACCCCGGGTACATCGTGGCTGTTTTGCTCCTCTGCCTCTTGAAGAAGACATGCCTTGACCACCCAGGAATGCTGTTTTCCCTTGCACAAATCTGGAGGGAGGTGCAAAGCTCATTTCACTGTTCAGAACTTGAAGGTTTTACACTGTCCCCTCACGATGCTGTAGCAGAGCCAGCCAGGCCCTGGCCCATGTCACAGCCAGGGACGTCGTGCACAGATGGTTTTTTTTACCACGGTCTTTTAGTATCAAAAAGGTGACTTTTGTAATAGCAGTAATCTCAGCTCTTTGCACTGATTCTTTTAAGGCACATTCTCAAAAGGGCATTCACCATTGTGCCTTGATGCTTCTCTGGCTTTTTTTTTTTTTTTGTGACATGCCAGGGAGGGTTGGAGGGTTCAGCTGTTTGACCATGACATTGGTTGTGGTCATTTCTTTATGGTACTAATTCTGAAAACAAACCTCAAAGGCAGGCTGGCCTCAGAGGAAGCACCCTTGCCTGTTAGGTAGGAAAGTAGTTGCAATGAGCCAAGTCCCTTCACAGTATTACAGAGATGCTGGGAGAAGCAGAGGAAAGGACGCAGCAAGTCAGAGGTGTTCCAGCCATGGGCATGTGGCTCAGCCTTCCTATTTTTCCCCACCGTTTTTAGGGTGAGAGTTTTCCTTGTGAGGCTGCTGTGGCCTCAAGGACAAGCCAAAATCTCTCAAGTTAATCCTGCAGGGCTTTCCCATGTTTCCTCTGAGCTTTTTGCATGGAGCAGAGAGGCAAAGACTTCACGCCGTGTCTGCACAGCCCTGTGCAGGGCATCTGAAGGCATCTCCATGCTGTAGCCTGTTAGCCCGAAGCTGAAGCACAGGAATTCTAAGGAATGAGAAGGTCACTGACCAGCTCCTGCACAAACCAGCGCAGCCTTGGGCCCAGCCATTGTGGGAAGGATCCTGGCTTTCCAACAGCTTTATTCCCTGTGCTAAGAGACACAAGCATTTTGGCCATCTGCCCTGAGCTTGATGACTTCATGTGAGTCTCTGAGCCCTTTTGAAATCATTGAATTGCCCAAGAGTCTCTTGATGGTGGTATCAGCTCTAGCAGTTTGTGTTGGACCTGTTTGTTCTCTCAAGGTCTTGCCAATGTGACCATTACTGTACCTCTGAGTTGGCAGTACTTTGGAGACAGTCTTCAGCGTCTGGCTCCTGTGATGGTTCTCTTTGGAACCGAGATTTGACAAAACAAAACAAGAAAAGGGGAGGTACTCTTTCTGTTTCTGCTTTAAAAGAAAGAAGGGGTGGATTAGGGTAGGTTGAAGGAGAGCAAAACTCCCTTCTCTTCCTTCCCTGGTTGCGTTTTCCTCCCAGGAATTAGGTGGATCTAACAGATCAGTGCTCCATTTCACATTTTTGGATGTTTTTGAAGATGTTATTTGTAAGTCAATGTATTCTATTCTGGGCTTTGCTTATTAATAATATTTGTGGGTTTAATCGTTCCATGTGTATTTGTCCCACACTGTAAATGTAATCCTGTGGTCATGAATAGGCCACTGTAATTCCCTGGTGTGTAGTTTTTATTCATCCTTGTCACCTAACATGTAACCTGCATCTACTTTATCATGCCAAATGGTCTTGGAAAAGCAGATTTACAGGCTGTGTGATTGTTTCAAAGAAAAAAAAAGAAGAATTTGATGAACTGGATTATGATCTGAAACTGGACGGTACTTTTAGACCTGGGGGGGATCCTTGCCCCTGTTAATTCCTGTGGGATTTTTCAGCTTTTCCAAGCAGGACGCTCAATTTGTTGCTTGTTGGAAAGCACTCCCAAGGGATTCACCTGTTCTTAGGTACTTTAATGAAGAGTATCCAATGGGATGGACCAAGAAGAGATGTGTGTCTTCATGCCATGGATTTCATCTGCACTTTTCTGATGACTTGGGGAAGAGGGGAGCAGAAGGGTTGCATACAACACAATAATACCTTGCCCAATAAATCCATGAGGACTTCTGAATGGACAAATGGGATGAGTCAATCTGATGGCAGTTTTCTGCTTTGCTCTGATTTGCAACTGTTGAACTGGAGGCTGAAATAGCTGGAGAGCTGGTGAAAATGGGCCTGGTTTGTATTAAAAGGGTGCATTTTAGCTATCTAGGCTCACTGAGCTCTTCTTTTTCTGCTTCTGTACTTGTTTGAATGAATGGGGACCTGTTGTTCCTGGAATTTGCTCATGCACAGCCTGGTCTGTGGCAGGGAGGATGGTTTATGAATCTTACTAACTCTGCCTGAGGACTGCTCTGTCCTTCTGTCAAAATGAAGGTGGTGTCCATGTCTGCATCTTGTGTGTCATGTTCCAGGATGCTGGAAGTTTTAAGAGCTATGGATTTTCTATCAATACTTTGTAGAACTTTAAAGGGTTAAAAAAAGAGAAGAAAAAAATACCTGAACTGAGTGTTTGTAGTGTTTTTCCCCAGACTGTTGTGCTGAAAGCAGATGCTGTTGGTTTCACATGGGATTGTTCATTGTATCAGTGAAGATCTTGGACCACCAAATCCACCCACCCTTCCTCTTTTTGGGAAGTGTTCCACCCTAAGCAGCCCCTGCCCTGGTGCAGTGCTGCTTTTGTGCTTTTTGGTTGTACTTTGCCTGTGTTTGTGCCCCAGCTGTGATTTTACACGAGCAATTTTTACCTGCCCTGGCTTTGATCATCTCTTTGTCTTTCAGACCCCAATTGCTCTGAGGTGAATGCACCTGCCATTTCTGTGTGAAGTTTTTCTGTGGCAGGGGCACCTTCTGGAGAGCAGTCAGGGCAGTACCTGCCCTTGGGAAAACCTGTTGGTGTCATTTGATCAGTGAGGCCTCTTTCCAAAGAGCCATCAGGTTAAATGAGATGTTTATTGTAAACATTTTCGGTTGGTATCCTACTAAAGGCTGGCTCCAGTCGGGGTGAGACCTGGATGTAATACTGCTAGAGAGGGGTTACAGCAATGACAAATTGCACAGCACCTTGCTGCTTGGTTACAGAGAAGCCAGAGGGCTCACAAAACACATTTAGGCAGAAAGTACATCCCAGGAGGTAAGGAATAACAACAGAGGCTGGATGGGGGCCGGCTCTGGACAGATTTACTGGTGCAGTGGTGTAACTTGACTCTGGAAGGACATCGACCTGTTGGAGCCAGTCCAGGGGAGGCACCAAGATGATCAGAGGGGATGAAGCACGTCTGCTATGAGGAAAGGCTGAGGGAATTGGGATTGTTCAGCCCAGAGAAGAGAAGCTTTGGGATTACTTAATTGTAGCCTTCCAGTGCCTGAAGGAACCAACAAGAAACATGGACTTTTTACAAGAGCATGTAGTAACAGGACAAGGGGGGATGGATTCACACAGAATAGGTTTAGATGGGATATTGGGAAGAAATTCTTCCCTGTGAGAGTGGCGAGGCCCTGGCACAGGGTGCCCACAGAAGCTGTGGCTGCCCCTGGATCCCTGGCAGTGTCCAAGGCCAGGTTGGATGGGGCTGGGAGCAGCCTGGGATAGTGGAAGGTGTCCCTGCCCATGGCAGGGGGTGGAAGGAGGTGATCTTTAAGGATCCCTTCCAACCCAAACCATCCCATGACTCTTATGATATGACTGGCTCCTGTTAAGAGTCTCAGCAGGTGGGTGTGGGATCACATGGCTAAGGAAGGGTTTAAAGATGGAATTTGCAAGATTGGAGATGGATACATGCACCCTGAGAAGTGCCTCCATCCATCTGAGCTGTGCTGGGGAGGCTGGCGAGGTGCTGGGCTGTCTGGATCCAGGATCTAGCTTGGAAGTGGGAAAATGCTTTGGGTGCAGCCATCGAGGCAGGACTTGGTGGCACAGAGGGTTTTTGGCTGCGTGGATCCCTGGTCAGGAGAGGGAAGCTGCCACCTGCTCGATGAAGCTGGCCAGGTTGATGTCTCGCTCCGATAAACCTCCGCAGTCGTGGGTGCTCAGGGTGATGTGAACCTACAGCAGACAGACAGGCTGAGGGTTGTTGTCAGAAACAGCAGGGCTGGATTTCCCAGTGCTGCATCTGATGAGGCAGTACCTCCAAACTTGTTAGCAAAATTCCCTGGGGTGGCAGAGGCGCTCTGGCACTTTGCCTGGATTTTCTCCTTCCTACTGCTCATCCTGGCCACAAGCTGTCACTGCCACCTCTGCCTTGGTCACAGCAGCCACCTGTGCCCATTTTCAGCTCACTCTTTCCCCGGAATCTTTTCCTGTGGCTGCTACTTGATACAGGTTTAAAAAAGCAAGCCTGGTGCCAGCCTACAGCAGCTTCTCCTCAGCTGGACGGGGAAAAAAGAGGAGGAAAGGATCTGTGATAGCTGTAGGCTGGCTGTGATACAGGAGTAACAGCTGAGGGAAGAGGTCCTGCTGATGAGAACAGGACTTGCTGCTCCTGTTTTATCCCTCAGAAAAGGGAGCTGCTCCCTGAAGTGCTCTGCTTTGTCCCCACTATCTGTGTTTCTTACCTTATTGTACACATTGAACCATTCGGGATGGTGATCCAGTTTTTCTGCCTGTAGAGCCACTCTGGTCATGAAGCCAAAGGCCTGAAGGGTAAGAAGGAAAGTTATCTCTGAACTACTTACCCTGCAGCATATTGGTTTTCACCCCATTACTATTGATTTTACACTGCCAACCAAATGCAAGGCCTGGGATATTCTGGGAGTTTTCTATGTGTTTTCCTCCTCCTCAGCAGTGTTTCCCGGACAAACTCTATGCTGGGTCGAGCACTTTGGTGTCTTGGGCAGGTTATTTTGCTCAGCCATTCCAATTCAGGAAAGACATGGAGGGCTTTCTTTGGCTGAGCTTTGCAGAGGGGACTCCCTGCTCCACAACCCAGCTGTAAAACTCTGGGCCCCTGGTGCTTGTACCCGGTTGAAGTCCTTGAAGTGGAACTCTTTGAAGATGGCATCTCTGCCTTCCACCTCGTTCCACCCCACAGCTCGCAGGTTTGGCAGCAGCTGCTCCCTCTCCTCTGTGCTCAGCCTGTGGGCTTTTCCTGCCTGGCAAGGAAAGGAAAGTGAAGAGGAGCAGGTCAGCGTGGCGGAAGTGGGATGAAGCAGATGTTTAGAGCAATGAGGCAGCCCATGGGTCGTGGAGTTATGGGAACATGGAGGCAGCTGCAGAGTGGGTGGGAGGGTTGGAATATCAATGTCCTCTGCTCCCTGCCTGGAATACATCCTGCATGTACCAAGGAAGCCCAGCCAGTCCCTTCTGTCCTCTCACCTGCAACACCTCCCACAGTGCCTGAGGCACTAAGAAATGATAACCTGCATTAAGTTAAACTCCAAAATACATTTTCTTTTACATATAATCTTCTGGGGGGAAAAAAAAGAAAAAAAAAAAGCTTAAAAAGCTGAATCTCTTGAGATCATTTCTAGATCTGAGAGCTGCTTTAGGGTTCTCCAAGCAGGAGGGCTTATTTATTTATCTATTTATTTATTCATTCATTTATTGTGAGCCTGCTTTTGAGGAGGAAGAAGTGGTGTGTGTGGATCAGAGATGAGTCACACTAAGCTGCAGTTCAGCTGCTTTTTCCATCTTTATATTACAATGGATTTTAAGAGGCTGTTTCTGCCTGTGAGGAACAAAGGGCAAGAGGGAGGGATTGTGGTTGAGCTCTGCCTTGGGCAGAGCTGCTGGTACTTAGTTTTTAAGGGGTGGTAGTGGGGAAGCAGCAGTTCTTGGCTTTGAGGAGTGTTTATAGGCAGAGATGAAGCTAAAATGAAGCTCTTGGGGATGGGGGCTGCCCGAGCCAGTTCTGCTCTGGCTCATCAGGGAAGGCAGGAGAGAGTGCAGAGGGGCACTGCTCTCTGAAATGTTATGTTCTGGCAATTAAAATTCTTTCACAGAATCACAGATTGTTCTGAGTTGGAAGGGACCCACAAGGATCATCAGACTCCAACTCCTGGCCCTGCACAGGACAGCCCCAAGAATCTAGCCTTGTGCCTGAGAAGTCCTTGAGCTCTGGCAGGTTTGGGTGAGTTGATCTTTCCAGTTGGTGATGACGATAAATGCCTCTTTGCAATTTATTTTCTTTTATGTGCTGTAGAGCCAAGTGTAGCAAGCCAGATATGAGTTTTGACAAATCTGACACAGTTTTTTATGGGTATTTGGTCAGCAGCCCCTTGAGACACTTTGCTTGGGCATCAATTCTCAGAAATGGCACCTTAAACAACAGAGCAACTGAGGCAAATCATCCTCTCCTAAGGTTTCCCTGCTCACAGGATGTACAGAACCAAAGAACCAGCTGTGAAACGGATGTTTTTGTGTGTGATTCTTGCATGTTTTTGGGAAGATTGGAAAGGTGATACCCCATTCCCATGGCTGAGTAGATGCCTACATGTCTGTGTATCCATGACCCTTAGACTGCACGGAATGGAGAGTGCCAGGGTGTCACTGAACCCTAGCGTGGGGTGCAATGCTTTCTCTCCCCCTGGCATTGCAGCTGCAGGATTTTTGGGGAAGGCCTTCCTTGCCTCTGCATATTTTGGACAATCCCCTGCCAGCCCCAGCTCTGTCACTCCCTCTCCACCCCCCAAATGTCAACGGAGCGCTGGGCTGGGAGGGAAGGCAGTGAGTAAACACGACTTAGCTCAATAAACCCTGAGCCGTTGCCCTTCCCTGCTGATGGTGTGATAAGCCGGGCACAGGTATCTTAGCAACTGGATAACGTGGGGACAGAGGATGGCTCTGCACAGGGCGCTGCCAGGGGGGCACCTCTGGGGGCTCTGATGGGAATAGGGCAGGGCTGCACCAGGATTTGGGACCAGGAGCTGAAACCTGCTCCTTATGGGTGCTAACGAGAGGAGCTAAGGTAAAAGCTGGGTTTGTTGTTTGGAGCAGAGGGGTATGGATGCAGGGGGCTGGGTCCAAACCAGCCTTCCCTGGGCAGAGCAACAAAGGGACGTGGTGTAATTGTTCTTTTTTTCCCTGGTGTAATTGTTCTTTTTCTCCGTTGTGACTCTGTGGGAGGATGGCCCCCGGGGCTTTTTCCAGTCCAGCTCCTCCCAACACCAGTGGAAGGCATGGACGGCTGAGGTTTGGCCCACAGAGCACACAGAGCCAGCTCTTCTGGCTGTGCCAGAGGGCAAATCCTCTGCCCTCCATCCTGCTCCAATCCATCCTTCTCCACCCCAGGACATTGGCCAGCCTGCTGCTTTTGTCAAGATGGCATGTTAATGCCTTCACTCCTTTAAAACACACTCTTCTCATTAGGGAAATGAAATTATTTTGTTTTCTTCTGCTGGTTCTCAACTGCCAGAAAGTTGGGATTTTTATTTTGTTGGTTTTTTTTTTTTGCTAGCAGGAAACCAAGTAGATGTGTTGTGAAGCTGAGGGAAAGGAACAGCATGGAAAATTGGGAGAATCTGAACCCTCTTTCTCTAACTAAAATCTTCGCTTTTATAGAATCCTGGAATGGTTTGGGTTGGAAGGGACCTTAAAGCCCATCTCATCCCACCCCCTGCCATGGGCAGGGACACCTTCCACTATCGCAGGCTGCTCCAAGCCCTGTCCAGCCTGCCCTTGGACACTTCCAGGGATCCAGGGGCAGCCACAGCTGCTCTGGGCACTCTGTGCCAGGGCCTGCCCACCCTCCCAGGGAAGGATTTATTCCAAATGAAAGGTGGAATTTCCACCTAGGAGAAAGTACAGGAGTCAGCCCTGGGCGGGCAGGCAGGGCTGGACTGGTGCACTCCACAAGGCCCACGGGCTTTTGCTGCTATGGAAAAGCCGATTTCCAGCAGGAAGTGTGCAGACGGAGCACACTTGGGTGGTCGTCCTTGCCCTACAGAATGTGGGGAGGGTCGCTGCTGGGGGACCTTTTCCCTCCTCCTTGCAGAGGAATGAGCCTGGAGAGCGCTGCCTTCGGAAATGGAGCAGCAGCCGGCGGAGCTCCCGCGTTACTGATTAACCGCAGCGCCCTGCTCCTTTCCCCCTTCCCTCCTGCCTCTCCTCGGAGCCTCCAGCTGCCGCTGGAGCATTTCTGCCTAAGAAAAGACAGACCAAGCAGCCGGCTTTCCCCAGCAGCGAACTTACCATGGCCCGCGGCTCTCGGTGCCGTCCGTCCCCGCCGCGGCTCGGGTGATGCTCGCCGTGCCGGATCCCGCCGCAGCCGGGGCTGTCCGGGATGGCGGAGGCGTGGCGAGGCTACCGGGTCCACCCACGGCCGGCCGAGCCTTGCCAG